AGGCATCTTTCATCTTTGTGGGCAGTGGGTACCGTACCGCTGGCCGGCCCGCGGCCGAAAGTCACCCACCACCGCTAGGCGCTAGCTGCAGACGTGCCGCAACCGCAACTCTCTAGATATCTCTTGATATGCAGCTTGGGACCAGGGAATCGCCAATGCGGCCATGCACATAATGACATAACTATCATTGCCTACTTCATTCATCTGTCAACTGTACATCACCCTAGTGCTCATAATCCGCACTAAATTTTAGATCATCAACTAAAGTTAAAACTAATTCTAATTCAATAAAAAAGACTTATGTTGACCTATATGCGGCCTCTCATCTCTCCTCTTGTCTAACTCCATCTTCTTTGTTCTCTCTTGCCGTGTGATCGTCGGCGGCAAGCCCAACCGTAGGGGCGTGAGGTGGCGAGCCCGGCTGGGCAGGCAGGCACAAGCGGGGTAGCAACAACACCCTCCTCTGCAGCGCCTCTCATCATCGACAGCCTAGCCCGTGGCACGGTCTTGTGTCTCAATGGCACCGAAGCGACCCTCCCTGAACGCCTGCATCACCTTGCAGTCCACCGTGTTTTTAAGTGGTGGGGAAGACGGGTGCGACAGTGGATGGGCACAATGGATATGGGCGAGGAGGAGGCGCAACGGCTGTGCGCAATAGGTGTGCGGTGGTCGTGGGGGATTGGGCATGCGACGCCAGTGGAGAAGATGTGTGGCGGCGGAGGATTATGCACCTAGGTGAACTACAGGGAGATAAGTGCAAGGGCAAATTTGTCCTTTAGTCAGAGAAAGGAAATTTTAGACTATTTTAACTCAATTTTATGGTTTAGTGGATCAAGAGCATCTCAAGAGACTCTTCGTATCCTTCCTAATATTTAGGAATATAGGTTTTGGAGAGAAAAAATACACTCCAACGGTCTCTTTAATTGGATCTCCAAATATAGACATCCTCTAATCTAGATTTCTCGTTACTCAAAGATGGAGAGCGAGGATGACTCTCTAAAGTGCGTACAAGATATAGAAAAGTTGTTGGATGGTATAAAGATATAAAAAATGATTTTTACACAAATGTCTCTTCAAATAATAATTGAGGGAGTAAATTTTAGAAAGACTCCTAGAGATGCTCTAATGTGTTTTGGTGGGTTAGCTAAAGTTTAGACATCATTATAGACTACATGTTTGGAGCTCCTAGAGCTAAATTTTAGTGGTTAAACTTTAGATAAGCATCAAAATATGACATGAATTTGTTCTTTTTGTAGTGGGGGTAAAATACCCCGAGCTTTCTTTGAACTCAAAACTTTCTTTTGAATCAAAAATGAATTTATCAAATCCAGTATCTGGAGCCATCATCAGCGTCGTCAGGCTGGTTTAAGAAGCAAAATGTCATTTTCTAAGAGCATCTCCAAGAATTTCCAAAACCCACTCCTAATATAGATTTTTTTGGCAAGATTGAAAAAACTGCTCTCCAAGAGCTCCCTATCTCAACTCCTAATCTTTTCACACTTGGGGAACTCAATCTAGTCGCACAGATATATACGTGCGCGTATCAACGGCCAATCTAAAGGTGGAAGGACGTGGGAAATAATAAAAATAGGACAGGGTCCCTGATGCAAAGATATAAGAGAAAGATTTTTGGGATTCCTGATGTAAAATTGTCACCTAAATTTTAGAACCGATATATTGGAATTTGTTGGATGAAACCAATAATATGCTTCCAACTTTTTTAGCTACTTGAAAAACTTATTGATTTACTGATTTTTTTTTTAAACTATTACAGATGCTCTAATGTAAAGAAAAAAGAAGGGGAAACGAAATGCATATTGACGTGAAAAGGTTGCAGCACAGATCCAGAGTAACTTATAGCAGAAAGCAAAGCTGCTGGCCCATCTATCAATCTGAAGGAGGAGTTCATGGGCCGATGAAACTCACAGCACATAGGCGGCAGGCCAGGCCGTCTCATTGGGGCCTGAATGAAAAGTTAAATACTCCTAAAACTGGCTCATAGCGAGTCCCGTTAACATTCTTTTTTTACTTCCTGACCAAAAAATCAGGCATGAGTTTCAAAAAAAAAATCAGACATGACAAATTAACTTTCAAGAACTCCACGGTTCAGTATCAAGTCTCCAAAGTAGCACAAGGTAAACGAGGAAGCTTGTACTACCCTTTGATGTAAAAAAAAAAAAAAGGCCTAAAAACGACGGCTCTGTTCAGGCGGATACATAAGCCGACTAATAAGTCGACTAAAGCTGTTTTATTGTGAGAGAAAAATATTATAGATTCGACTGATAAGTTTAAGTGAACAGGAAGATCAGTAGCTCAAGTGCACACAGGATCTTGCGCTTTTCGGGCCTAGAAGATTAGGATAATAATAATCAAGCTCCACCCTGCCAATCGGCTATGCCACGCACACGCGCTCTCTCTCTCTCTCCGTGGCTCCGTGCTGCAACTTGCATGCAGCGCCTTTTCTCCTCCCTTTTCCTTGTCTATTTCTTTGCTTCACATCTCTTTCTCGATACCTTGAAACTGCAAAGCAATCCATCGAGTTTCGAGAGCCAGACAACTAACAAAGGTGCTTTCGAATACCTTTTCCTTATCATCACTTATACACGTATGCACCTTTTTAAAAGCCACTGTACTAGCAACGTTTTTTTTTCTTTTTTTGCGTGTACTACAGCTGAAGGAACACCGTGCATGCTAAGGCCGTATCGTATCGTGGATTATTTACTGCTGGCTGGTTTAGTGTGAGAGAAAACATTGTTCCTGACTGAAAATTTACGATCATTTACGAAAAACGAACAGGCTGCTGGTGCATGGGCATGGTCATGGTCATGGCCAGCCCAAGTCTGGCGTGTGTTCCTCTGGTCCCTCCTTCCAGCAATAACCGCACGGTTCAAATGCAGCAACTTAGGCCGCGTTTAGTGGCGCCGGATTTTCAGCGACACTGTAGCGTACTGTAGCATTTCGTTTGTATTTGGTAATAATTGTCCAATCGTTGACTAATTAGGCTCAAAACATTCGTCTCGCAAAGTACAACCAAACTGTGCAATTAGTTTTTGATTTCATCAATATTTAGTACTCTATGCATATACCGCAAGTTTGATGTGATGAGAAATCTTCTTTTTGCATAGTGTCGGAGTTAGGGTAAACTAAACATGGCCCTACCTTTCTATCCTTATACTGTCCTCCTGTAGGGTTCAGACAGACCGTCAGAGTAACAGCGCATGTTGTAAACCAAACATGGCCCTACCTTTCGTAGAGGAAATAAATCCTTATACTGTCGTCCTGTAGGGTTCAGACAGACCGTCAGAGTAACAGCGCATATTGTCAAGCCCAGCAATGTGTGGTCAGGGCGAGTTCCACGCCGCCAGCCCCGTCCACGGCCCACTCCTTCCGTAGAGGAAATAAAATACTACTGGTGCTGCATTGCTCTGTCTGAACTTTCTATGGTTCCAGGCTACTGCTGCGCTCGTTCAGGCCTATGAGAACCGATTAATTTGGGAAAATTTTCGAAGTGCAAACGAGCACTTAAATTTGGGCGGAGGGAGTTAGATAACAACAGTGTGCTACTAGTATTTTATTTCCATGGCCGCCACTGCGTTTGCATTTGCCTATGCACAGCACAGCACACGGACCACGGAGACGGATGGAGGTGGTGGACCTCTTGCAATTGCTTGCAATGCTTCTGCCCGAGATCACTACGCTTTGGATGCTTGCTCGCTCGCTCGCGCGTCTCGAGGCTCTCTGGCAAAGTGAGGGCCTGTTTAGAACGGAGGGACGTAAAACACAGGAACGAGATAAAATACATGAATGAAAAAGGAATAGAGGTGTAAAACCGATGATTGGAAAACACAGGAATTTGTAGAAACGAGTGTTTGGAACACATGAATACTAATAGCATGAAAGTTCGTAAGCAACACAGCCACAAAGAAAAGATTTCCCTGAGCTCGGAGCTCATTTTCTATTTCCTCTAAAAGTATAGGTTATTTTGCCTTTCCTATGGAATGGTTAGAGCTGATTCCTTTGTTCCAAATGATGTTACAGTGAAGAAAATTATAGGAATCAGAATCCTCCTTTTTTCTTACGTTATTCCCGTGATCTAAACAAGCCCTGAGTAGGCAAGCGTATCTTCCACTTCCATTTTCTTCGTTCTCTGTGGCTGTGGGACCAGACATGTCGCTCCACCACGTATTTGTATTTATATGATTTCTTGACCGCAGAGATCTACCAACCTCATGATCAAAATAATTGTTTAGAATGGGTAATAAAAATAGGTACTGGAGTTATTACGTGCACTACTGTCGGTGGACGAGTATAAGATACTCCTATAGTCCTATGTGCTGTGCTGTGCTGTGCTGTGCATGGTCCAAAACTCCAGCGGCCAAACTGCACAAGAGAGGTAGGTAGGAGTAAGAAAGAAAGTGCATTTTGGCTTGTGATGACTGATGAGGTAGAAAATGTCGCCACCCAGCCAGGCGTCATCACATTCACTGATTCACAGGACGGGCGGTGGCAGCGCAGATCAGAGTACAATCTGAATGTGATGCAACTACCTCAAACGACAACATCCCAGAGCAATCAGCAGGACGCCTACACCGAGCATAGCAAGCTGGCCAAAACCATCTTTACTACTGCCAACAAACAGGAGGGGCAAAGAGAAACTGACGAACAAACTTCATTCTTTGACATGCAAGCAGGAGTATGCAGCATGCTAGCTCTAAGTACTGTAGATTATTACTACTAATTGCTGCCCTCCTTGTACAATCTTTGCTACAAGTTTAATTTCTTATACCGACCGCCTCATATAAATCCCAAAAAAGAAAGAAGACGAGGATAACGATCGAATAGTAAAATTACAATTTACCGCTAGAATACACAGGCCACAACTGAATCGCCAGTTGCATTGGATCAGCACCTCTTGTACTGTATAAGTGAAAAAAGAAACAGCGCATGAACTCACTCACTGTCTCACTCTGCAGATGGCAGATCTAGATCCCTCACGGTGTCTACCACAGCAGCAGCATGCTGGTGAGGAGCAGCGCCAGCAACGTCGCCGCGGACGACGAGGCGGCCGTCGTCACGGCCCACGCGCCGGATGAGTGCAACGGCGACGGCGGCGGCGGGTAGAAGTAGAAGGGGAAGTAGGGCAGGAACGGGTTGGGCGGGGGCGGCGTCGGGTACATACCGCCCTGTTGCGACCCGCCGCCGTTGCCTCCGCCTCCGCCGCTGGACCCAGCAGACCCGCCGGTGGGCGGTGGGTAGTAGAAGCCTCCGCCACCAAAGCCGCCGGAACCAGCAGGAGGTGGTGGGGACGAGTAGATGATGGGGCCTCCTCCTCCTCCGCCGGAGGGGGAAGGATAGGACGGCGTGGTGGGCGGGCAAGGCGTGGCGACCGGCGCCGGGGGAGGGGACGGGGGCGGGTAGTAGGACGGGTTGCAGGGGTTGTCGCACGACGCGCACAGGGTGCAGGTGGTGCCGTCCTTGAGCACGATGGTGGCTGGCGCTGGGTCGGCATTGCCGAAGCCGAGGCCGGCGGCGAGGAGAGGAGGAGGAGGAGGAGGAGGAGAGCTGCCATGACTGATAGGGACGGGAGTGGGAGTGGGAGTGAGAGAGTGTGCAGTGTTTCCCAACGATGGTGGGGTACTTAATTTGGAAGGGAAGCAAGAAGAAGGAAGGTGGCGTGGATTAGTTCAGTCGTCTCGTCCCGCCACTTGGTCGCTTTCGCCGGACTTTTTGCGTGCGTAAATAAACAAAAAACAATTGCGTCTTTTTGGGTGTGTGTACGCGCCGGCGCCGCGTCAATGAAGGTCGGACGGTGCCACTTGCCAGGCAACAGATGAGCGCTCGCAGAAGCTGCGTCGGCAGTTGATTACAGCAGCCACACTTGTCGTGGGAGAATTGGGGACAACACAAGGTTAGATCATAATAACTGACGACTGAGTGAAGATCGGTTCTTTGCAATTTCAACGTGTACTGTAAGCTACCCAAGGTTAGAAAATACATAGTGCCGATGGGCTTGCTACATGGGCAGACGAGCTCAGTTGGAGTTTCTGCATGGTAGGAGTTATGGTCTGACGGAGGAGTACCAGCCTAGCTCAGGGACCAATGGTAAGAACCAGAGGAGGCAGAGAACGAAGATGACCCATATCTAGAATGTTGGATCCTAATCGAACAATTAGTCCCCGTTGCACTTCGCGCTAAGGATGATACAAGATGAGGCAAATGAATGGTGCCTAGCAGGTTACAACACAGCTGCTGTCGTTGGTGTAGGTTGTTTGCTCAGGTAGTCGCAAAAGTTTGTTGCTATAAATCAAAACCCCGTGCTGCCAGGCCGTCTTGCCTCAGTAATCTATGGATTACTGCCGCTCATTGTTATGTAACTGTTATCTTCTTCTGCTTAATGATTACGGTGCCAAGGCATGTTCGAGAAAAATCGAACAATTAGTCGACCGAGCTTTAGCATCATCCTCAATAAAACCCTTTTACCTTCAAAAGGTTGTCACCTCCAATTAGGAGATACTAAAATCAATTACTATAGTTGACGGGGTGATTCCCTTATGGTGTGTTTAGTTTGTGGAGTCACCCCATACTTTATGAGGTGATGCATCATGAGTTCATCCCATGAATTTTGGTGGAATCAACCCATTCCTCGTGCATATACTAATTATTAGTTTACGAGGGTGAAAAAGGGTGGTGATGGATATCACATTCCATTCTATGAACCAAATATAAAAAGTGAGAAGTGAGAAGATGATGGACCACCTTATTATTCCTCAAACCAAACACACCCTTAGCGTACTAGCTCGTTAGGAGCCCTTTAGAACGAAGGGTTTTTTTTTTCTAAAATCCTATATTCTCTAATGAAATTGAACTGGCTAGAAAATTTTGTATGATTTCTGCGTGCCAAAGGTAATAGTCAATCACATTATTGTACCCACAACATTCGGCACCCTCCAATTTAGCTTCTTTGCCCATGTTTGTAATTAATAGTCAGGCACCTGATACTTATATTTTTGCCTCCTTATGACATTCAAGTCTCATGCTGTGATCTGATTTCATCATTTGAAGTGGTCTCTTTGGCCGTGATTAAAAACTTTTGTGTAACGTTTCTATGAGCGTGATGATGCTAGCGTCGTCTCGTCCGTTGCTTGGAACCTAGTACTCCCTCCGTCTAAAAAGGATAGGTTTTAGATAAATCAATTTTTTCTAAGTTTGGTCGAGTTTATACGGAAAAATATTAATATTTATGTCTCCAACTAGTTTTACTATAAAACTAATAATTAATATAACAGTACTAGGTATTGTAAAATGTTAATATTTCTGCAAAAATTTTGTTAAATCTAAAACTGTTTGACTTTCTCGGAAATTAAAAATTGTTTTTTTTTGGGGGTGGGGGGACGAAATAAGAACTTTCATTTTTCTTGTTCTGTAACTCGAATATTTGTTGTGCATCAACTGGAAAAGGCTTACTGCGGTTCAAAGAAATTAGAGGATGATGTAACAGTACTAGTAGGAGCCCGGGGCATCGGATCCATGGATGACAGACACTCAGAGACAGACAGGCAGGCAGGCAGGCGAACGGCATGGGAGCAAGCCCACACGTGTCCCCGTGACTGCTGCTGGTCCCGGGCGCCATCCAAACCAAACCACTGGCGGCGTCCTGGACCCCTGCGTGGGACGGGATCGGGATCCGCCGCGCCGGCACGTCGGATAGATAAGCGAAACTGCGCTGCGCTTGCCGAGCATGCATGGCCACGACCCAAAGTCCATGACCCCGGCTGCGGCGGATGCGTGGACTGGAGGCGGCATGGCGTTTTGCACATGCGGACGCGGGCACGCGGCTGTGTCTGGGCTGGCGGGCGGCGCCTGTGGCGTGGAACACATGCGGGAGCGGAGGCCGAGCGACGAGTGCGGACCATCGGCGGCACCACGCCGACCAGAGGCGATTTCTGCAGTGTTCCGATCGACCCCGGTTGATGACTTTTGCTACTAGCAGGATAGCTCAGGAGCGAGGGGGCTTAAGCTCGGCGGCCGCATGCGTGCTGTCCAGCACCGTACCACTTGCCTAGCAGCAACCGGACGATGGCTCGATCGGAAAACACGAGTCAACGTAAAATGCAACAGCACGATCTGATCAGCTGAACGGGAAGGGTCAATACACTCGCTGACGACTGATCCGCATTTGATCATGCACTGATCGATCAATGTAATATACTGTAAGATACGATCGATCTTCACTGCTGGCAGAATAAGAAAAATCTTCTAAATTATCTGATCGATCTGATAATGTACACCGGCCTCACATAAACGGAACAAACACACCAGATATTATACTTCTGGAAGCTCTTTACACCTCAGATCAGATCGTATTTTGTTTCGAGCAAGACTTTACACCTCGGGTTCCCCGTCGCGTACTAGCGTTCCAGATCCTCCATTGCACATGGGGGTAATCATGCACGGCACGGTGGCGAGTAGGAGTACGGCGCCTAGCTAGGCGTAGCTGCCAAACGGGCAGGGCAGGTGATGGAGGGAAGGCGATGAGACGAGGTGGACGTACGACCGGCAAGTGGTGGGCTGGGGTTGGTGGTGTAGGACACGACACGACACGACACGACACGACACGACGAGATGCGGTGGAGTGGAGCTGGTGGCGTGGGGGAATTTTATTGGGAGTTGCTGCCGCTGGGCATGTGGCTTCTGGAGCCATCTGCTGTGCTGTTGAAGCTAGGCCCGTTTAGTTTTCAATTTTTTTTTTTTGTGCAGTAGGCACGTAGAGTATTAAGTATAGATAAAAAAAATTAATTATATAGTTGGGTGAGAAATTGTGAGATAAAATTTTTAAATTTAATTAGTCTATAATTAGATACTAATTATCAAATACAAACGAAAGTATTGCAGTAGCCAAAACTCAAAAAACATTTCATCTAAACGCGCCCTAACAACGGGCAGGAGAGCGCGGCGGCCGGCGGCGGCCGGAGGTAGCCGTCGCGAGTGACATCACGTGAAGGAAATGTTTCCACAGGCACACAGCCATACAGCCTACAGGCCGCGCATGGCTCTGCGGTCGGCGCGCGCTCTCTTCACTTTTTACCATGCAGCTCGAGCCCGTTAGCCCGGCACGAGACCCATTTTTTGCCCAGCCCAAGCACGACCTGAGCCGATGGCTAACGGGCCTAGGCTAGCATGGCCCGAGAAAGCAGCCCGTGTCTGGGCCTTACCCAAGGCACACGGGCTGACACGGCCCGGCCCGTAAAATGGCCAAAGGCCCGGTGAGAAAAATAGCCAAAGGCCCAACAACAGTCCAGCAGGCCAGCCCTCCTCTCTTAACTCTGCCACCTACCCTCTCCCTCCCCCGCCGTCACACTCTACTATCTCTCGCCCAATCACTCGCCTCGCCACCTCTCCGCTCTCACTCGCTCCCTCTCTTCTTCACGACTCGCGGGCGGGCTGCGGCGCACGCGGGATCCTCTCCTCCTGCGGCCACCTCCCACCTCCACTCCAACCCGCCGCCGCACTCCCTACCGCTCGCGGTCGCGAGTCGGCGTCGCGACTCGCTCGCCACGTTGCCTCCCCACCCCACTCTCTCTCCCACACGACTCGCCTCCCTGCCGGCCACCGCACTCTCCCGACTCACCTCCGCGGCCCCCACCGGCAAGCCGTCGACGGTGGCCACCGTCAAGGTGGCTACCGCCCCTCGCTGCCGTCGACGGTGGCCACCTCCTCCTCACCGCCATGCGCTGCTGCTCCCCCTATGCCTCCTCTGCGTGGATCCTGCCTCGTTCTCCGTGGATCCGGCCTCCTCATCGCTCATCCTCCGCGGATCCAGCCAAGTCGAGGTGCGGAGAGGTCGCGTCGTCCGCGGCCTTCACAACAACGACAGCCTAGCCTCCCCCTCTCTCTCGGTGTAGTGGGCCTTGGGCCGGCCCGACACGCTGGATTAGCCGTGCTTCTCGGGCTGGCCCAGCACGAAAAACGCCCCAGCAGGTCGTGCCTAGGCCGTCGGCCAGGCACGAAGCCCATGGCGGCACGGCCCGCAGGGCACGTCGTGCCTTGTCGGCCCAACCCTCATCGGGTCGTGACGGCCCGTTGCCGTGCCGTGCCATACCGGGCCGGCCCATTGGACATCTATCTAAGGGAGGGGGTGTTTGGTTCACCCATCACCTCCTAAATCTAGTCTCATTCAGTTATTTTTATCCAAACACTATGACTAAATGAGATTAAAAATGTATTAGCCAACTAGTCATCCAAGTGTTGCTAAATGGGACTAAAGCCCACATTTTAGTCAGGCTGCCTCACCTTTTAATCACTTTGGATCAAGCACCCTGACTAAAAGAGACTAAAATGTTTCTTTTAGTCTCTTTTAGTTCATCGAACCAAACAGGATGACTAAACTTTATGAGCTGGTTTAGATGACTAAATTTTAGGAGGGGTAAACCAAACACGTCCTAATTGGTGGCCATTGGCCAATGGACGGTGGAGGTAAACGGCCGGCTTTTAGCGTGGCTTGTCTCTCTGGCCGGCCAAGTACAATACGGATTGATTACCCTACAAATCAAAATCGCGAGGACCAGTACTGTGCATCTAAGCACCACGGATGGACAAGGAAAAGGAAGCCTAGCCAGGTACTGCATGGGTTCGATCTCACACGTGCGTTTCTTCCATAACCCACGACGGTCCTAACTCCGCGTCATGTAGCATCGTTATCGCGCAAGGCGAAACCAACAGAGTACTCTATGTCGTTTCCGTTTCCGAAAAAATAACTTAAAATTAATATATATTAAAAATATTAATATTTATTATACATAATTAGGCCTCGTTGATTTGGGGCTTCCACCAATAAACTTCGGAGAGCCGTTTGGAGCCATATTTTTATTTTTTACCAAACGGGATAAAGTGAAATAAACTTCATTTGGTGAAGCCCCTAAAACATGCTCTCACAATGATTTGGGGTGAAATGGAGCCCAAAAAAAAGTGGCTTCTCCGTCTCCTCCTTCTATCACCCCTAAAAATAGTGTTCTCACCAACAGAAGCCATTTTGCCAGGGCATCTTTTTTGGGAAACAAATTGGGTATGGATGGTCCACCACACGGTGCCGATGTGCATTGAACGTAGCGTGAGTGAAGGCAAAAAAAAATAAACTTCACTAGTAAAGTGAAGTCCTCGGTAAGGATGGTCCTCAAATGGGGCCTTAGTATCATTGCATAGATATTGAAATCTAGTTTTTTTAACAAATTTATTTGAAGATAGAAATGTTACACATATTTTATATAAATCGAATTAAAGTTATCGGCATACGTAAATTATGACGACTAACCTTTAGGGTAGAGGGAGTAGTATTTTTTTTTTTAAAAAAGAGTGCGCGCTCGCTTCCGCAGTCCGCACCAAGGTGAATGATGGTGGAGATACTGTTACCGCATCTTTGGTGTTTGTGTATGACACAAAGCTTAAAAGCAAAGGCACCGTTTGCCGTCTCACATACTCCTGTCACTCCTTGAAAGGCCCTGTTCGTTGGAAAGAATTTGAAGAAATCTAAATCAATCTGTGATATAATAAACAGTAAATTTCATTCGTGAACAGTGAAATCCGGCTCGAATTTGGACCAGCCGAACGGCCCCAAAATTAAGTGAACAACGTATGCAGTCACCAACAGACTCAGAGCGTCACTTTCCCAGGGCGATCTTTGTTTGGGAAACAAATTCGGTATGGACGGTCCATACCAAAACATGGTGCCGATGTGCATCTGACGCGTGGACTGGGGTATCTGATTTAGCATGGTGCGATTAAAATGATACGGTGGTCCACATGTTAGATGAACAGTCGCACCATGTCTTGGTAGGGATGGTCCTCACCTAATTATTTTCCTTTGTTTGTTTGTAGCCGGCCAGTGTGTCATTTGGAACCCCTTACTTCTGCCCAGCCTAGATTCAAAATCTTCTTTACTTAGGCCTTGTTCACTTTGCAAATTTTTTCAACCCGATAAATAGTACCACTTTCGTCTTATTTGATAAATATTGTCCAATTGTGGACCAACTAGGCTCAAAAAATTCATCTCGTGATTTCCAACTAAACTGTGTAATTAGTTTTTTTTACCTACATTTAATACTCCATGCAAACGGCTAAAAATTGATGTGATAGAGAGAGAGTGAAAAAACTTGGAATTTGGATGGCATCTAAACAAGGCCTTAGGTCATGTTCATTTCTCTTATAATTCATCTTTTTCAGCTTACCGAAACAGTATTTTTCTCTCACAACAAATCAGTCGGAACAATATTTCGGTTTGTTTTTTCAGCGAAGCGAAGGAGCCTTAAACAACAGATCTCCTATATAAATTTGCTCACGAGCCATTTTTATACGTGTCGGCCCAGACACAAGATACGGGCCGGACCATTGCCACATGGTGTTTACTAGGATGGAGGCCCATTTGTTTTGGACCAAAACCTCGAAGCCCTCATTAGCTACTCGCTTGCTGCACTGGGCCAACAAGTGGTGACAGCTCGACTCTGCCTCGGCTCGGCTCGTTATCATAACGATCTTTGAAAGTCGTTATTAGCATTATAGCTAGCGTTAGCTATCTTGAGCCAACTCTAATCATACCACGTAGAGTTAAGCGAGGCAAGCTTCGGGAAAAAAAGTATCAAAACTTACATTAGTTTTGCACGTAGTATTACTTCATATCTTGTACTTTACAATTGATCGATGGACCAGCACGCGGTCTAGACCCTATAAATTGACCGTGACCACGCTGGTCTAGATGTATTTCTTTTATATTATTATTATTCTCAAACTTTAGATAAATGCAAATATTATATTTTGTGTATTTTTATACAACGCTCACGAGCTTAACGAGACGAGTCGCAGGGCGGCAGCACGGCTCGTTTACGACGATCGGTTGAGCGAGCCGTAACCTCGTTATCTTAACGAGCGTGGGCGGACAGCGGAAAGCCAGCTCGTTATCCAGCCTTAATGGTGTTATAAAAAAAACAGACGTCATGGATGGCATTCATGGCAGTGCAATACTCCACGGCACCCACGTCCGTGCTGTTTGAGTTTCTAAGATTCAGTCGCTCCACCCGCTTTTGGTCGTGTGATTTCCTCCCGTGACACGTGTAAGATACATCATGTTTCGTGTCACGAAGTGCTTTAGGCCGTGACAAAATACTGTGCCACGAACCCACGCGCATGCATATGTGTGCTCCTATTACGGGGGCACTATAATTATTATAAAATTAAGTCATGTAGCGGTTTCCTTTTCAATAAATATACGGGTTTATCAGCTCAGAAACCAACCAGCAAATAGACTGATTGCCTAGAACTATTAAATAATGAATAATGTTGTTTTTCTCCTAAAGTAAGTCCAGAGAAATACCGGCACGTAAACCTGCTAAAAGTCTAGGACTTGAGTCGGTGGACCCCACCATAATAACTTACCATACCAGAGACACGTACGTCAAGTTCCTGATTAATTAAGATAATATTATACTCCGTACTAGTAACCATGCATCTTGCATGACTTACATACTAATAACCATCTTGCTACGACTTGTAATTACATTCACTATTGAGACGATATGCATTATGAAACGAGAATGTATCGTAGCCGCGCCGCATGTTGTCTTTGATGATGGTTTGGTGCTGTTTGTTAATATATGCATGCTTCCTTGACAACGACCCATATCACTTAATTGTTGCTTTCCATGATGTTGACTTGTGCTCAACGGATAATAGAGATGACTTAACTAACAATCCATAACCCATGCTTTGCCTGGACATGTGACAACCCTTCACATGTGCACTAATGTCACTGTCATCTTCCAAATGATGATAGGTTAGACGTCGTAGTAAGTCCTAATTAATAACCGATCTGATCATCAGTGTTCTGTGTAGGCTATATATCCATAAAGGGCTTCAATGGAGTGCAGCCCTCGTCGTCTCCGCCCTCTGTGTTCAGCTTGGAACCCTGCCACTCACTGCCAGTTCCAGGACGTGAACCTGCTGGTCACAACTCTCAAGTCACAAATGATCTTGCTATGAAAGGGAAACGTCAGCTTTGCCCG